TTTGAACTGCCAAACTTGCTGCTAGTAATCCAGCACTTGATCATTTACTTCACCCTTCTAGATGTTATTGTTATTAGATGACATCAAGTTGGTTCCAACCTGCCCTGCACAATCTTCACAATTGTTACATTTGAACCCATTGTAAGTATGTGTTTATTCTACTAACATTCTTTTAAAGTATTTATTTTTTTAAATTTATTCTTAATAATTGTCTAGTATTTCTATATATTATATAATTTATATGTATTTGTCTAGTATTTCTATATATTATATAATTTATATATATTTTTATATAAGGGTTATGTTAACTTCATGAGTTTCATGTATTTCTTTTCAGTTTAGGAGTATCTCATAATTCATTTTTCATTTTTGGATTACAGTCAAGAGATCAGACAATAGATTGCATTGGGTAAATCTCGTGCACTCTTTAAAGCGTTGAAAAGCAAGGATATGTTACTTTGAAGACTAAGGTGCACCTGACGCAAGCCATATGCATGCGAAAGATGGATATTGGATAAGGAAGACTGAAGAAGAATAAATGCCTTTGAATTATGGTTCTGGTGAAGAACATTGCAAATGCCACGGATTGCCAAAAGCACAAAAACACCTGTCTTGGAAGAAGTACAAACAGAATGCTCTTTAGAGGCAAAGATGGTAAGGCACTTTGAACATGTCATCAGGAAGTGACCAGTCCCTTGAGATGGACATAATGCTTGGTAAAGTAAAGGGGCAACGAAAAAGAGGAAGGACCCCTGCCAAGATAGATTTGCACAGTGGCAGCAATAAAGGAGCTCAAACATAATAATTGTGAGGGTGGTGCAGGAGCAGGCATGCTTTGCTGTGTTGCACACAGGGTTGTTATGAGCTGGAACTGACTATAGGACCGAACAACAATAATGTCCTAAAAATCTTTACTTAAAAAAATGTTTAATGTTTTCTATTATCATTCTTTAGCTATTTCAAAAAGCATGTCCTCTATTCAGAGGATGTAACGTTATGGGATTCTAACTGCCATCTTAAATTTATCTAAGTACATCTTATTATTTGGTTTTTCTCTGGTTCTTAAAGAGATATATTAGAATCTCCCACTATAACTGTGTTATTTTAATCATATTCTCCTTAAATTTCCAGATATCTATTCTTTTATTATTTAGCTATTGTATTTTTGTGCATATACGTTTATCATAATATTTTCTTCTTTTTTCAGGAACTTTGGTGGTACATTGGGTTACATATTGGGTGGCTAATAGCAAGGTCAGCAGTTCAAAACTGCCAGGTGCCCTGAGCGCGAAAGATGAGACTTCCTACTCCTGAGTTGCAGTTTTGGAAACCTACAGGAGTAATTCCACCCTGTCCTATAGGATTGCTATGACTCAATAGCAGTGAGATTATTTTTATTATTTAAAATTTTAAAGCATCCACCTATGTCTTATGTGTTTCTTTCAGCCTTAATGCCACCTCATCTGATATAAATGTTGTCAATAGAGATCTAATTTCATTTCTATTTCCTTAGTATTTCTTTGCCTATCTCCTTATTTTCAACCTTTCATATAACGTAGTTTTAAAGGTATGTCTAGATTTTGCCTTTGAAATAGACTATTTCCTTCTGTGGTGTCTCTATATAATCTTGCATTAATATCACACCCAACAACAGTTGTAGCAGCACATTGACAGGGAGCTGCCAGAGCTTTAGGCCAGAGTCAGATGAGGATGTGAAACAAGGGATATATTTGTTGATATCAGATGGATCTTGGATGAAATCAGAGTGTATTAGTCTGGGTAGACTAGAGAAACAAATCCATGGACACACATATGTGTATAAGAAAGAGATTTATATACAAGTGCATTGAACATTCAGAAAACATTACAGTTCAGTTCAGATAAAGTCCATAAATCTGATATTAGCCCATATGTCCGATACCAATCTATAAAGTCCTCTTCAGACTCATGAAACACATGCAATGACGCCGAATGTAGAAGATCACAGGCCAATGGGTAGAAAGTCTTTGGATCCAGTCGTATGGGGAACATCTCAGCGCTGGCAGGGGGCTCTGCATGACTTCTCCAGCTCATTGAAGCAGCAATCAAGAGATGAAAAGATGTGCCACAATGGGGAAATCAGCAGCACAAGACTTCCTTAGGGTGTTGAAAATCAGGGAGGTTACTTTGAGGATTAAAGTGTACATGACCCAAGTCATGGTATTTTTAATTGCCTCAGATGCTTGTGAAAGTTGAACACTGAATAAGGAAGATGGAAGAAGAATTGATGCGTTCGAATTGTGGTGCTGGTGAAGAATATTGAAATTACCATGGACTGCTAAAAGAACAAACAACAAAACAGCTCAGTGGATTGATGTTGTTGCTGTTTTGTTGTACAGTGTTGCTTGGTTTTGCTCTGTCTTGTTTT